AGGGGGCGAGGGATTAACGAGCCAAGGGGGCGAGGGATTAACGAGCCAAGGGGGCGAGGGATTAACGAGCCAAGGGGGCGAGGGATATACGAGCCAAGGGGGCGAGGGATTAACGAGCCAAGGGGGCGAGGGATTAACGAGCCAAGGGGGCGAGGGATCAACGAGCCAAGGGGGCGAGGGATTAACGAGCCAAGGGGGCGAGGGATTTACGAGCCAAGGGGGCGAGGGATATACGAGCCAAGGGGGCGAGGGATTAACGAGCCAAGGGGGCGAGGGAAATACGAGCCAAGGGGGCGAGGGAAATACGAGCCAAGGGGGCGAGGGATTAACGAGCCAAGGGGGCGAGGGATTAACGAGCCAAGGGGGCGAGGGATTAACGAGCCAAGGGGGCGAGGGAGTAACGAGCCAAGGGGGCGAGGGATTAACGAGCCAAGGGGGCGAGGGATTAACGAGCCAAGGGGGCGAGGGATTAACGAGCCAAGGGGGCTGGGATTAACGAGCCAAGGGGGCGAGGGATTAACGAGCCAAGGGGGCGAGGGATTAACGAGCCAAGGGGGCGAGGGATTAACGAGCCAAGGGGGCGAGGGATTAACGAGCCAAGGGGGCGAGGGATTACGAGCCAAGGGGGCGAGGGATTAACGAGCCAAGGGGGCGAGGGATTAACGAGCCAAGGGGGCGAGGGATTAACGAGCCAACGGGGCGAGGGATTAACGAGCCAACGGGGCGAGGGATTAACGAGCCAAGGGGGAGAGGGATTAACGAGCCAAGGGGGCGAGGGATTAACGAGCCAAGGGGGCGAGGGATTAACGAGCCAAGGGGGCGAGGGATTAACGAGCCAAGGGGGCGAGGGATTAACGAGCCAAGGGGGCGAGGGATTAACGAGCCAAGGGGGCGAGGGATTAACGAGCCAAGGGGGCGAGGGATTAACGAGCCAAGGGGGCGAGGGATTAACGAGCCAAGGGGGCGAGGGATTAACGAGCCAAGGGGTCGAGGGATTAACGAGCCAAGGGGTCGAGGGATTAACGAGCCAAGGGGGCGAGGGATTAACGAGCCAAGGGGGCGAGGGATTAACGAGCCAAGGGGGCGAGGGATATACGAGCCAAGGGGGCGAGGGATTAACGAGCCAAGGGGGCGAGGGATATACGAGCCAAGGGGGCGAGGGATTAACGAGCCAAGGGGGCGAGGGATATACGAGCCAAGGGGGCGAGGGATTAACGAGCCAAGGGGGCGAGGGATTAACGAGCCAAGGGGGCGAGGGATTAACGAGCCAAGGGGGCGAGGGATTAACGAGCCAAGGGGTCGAGGGATTAACGAGCCAAGGGGTCGAGGGATTAACGAGCCAAGGGGGCGAGGGATTAACGAGCCAAGGGGGCGAGGGATTAACGAGCCAAGGGGGCGAGGGATATACGAGCCAAGGGGGCGAGGGATTAACGAGCCAAGGGGGCGAGGGATATACGAGCCAAGGGGGCGAGGGATTAACGAGCCAAGGGGGCGAGGGATATACGAGCCAAGGGGGCGAGGGATTAACGAGCCAAGGGGGCGAGGGATATACGAGCCAAGGGGGCGAGGGATTAACGAGCCAAGGGGGCGAGGGATTAACGAGCCAAGGGGGCGAGGGATTAACGAGCCAAGGGGTCGAGGGATTAACGAGCCAAGGGGGCGAGGGATTAACGAGCCAAGGGGGCGAGGGATTAACGAGCAAAGGGGGCGAGGGATTAACGAGCCAAGGGGGCGAGGGATTAACGAGCCAAGGGGGCGAGGGATTAACGAGCCAAGGGGGCGAGGGATTAACGAGCCAAGGGGGCGAGGGATTAACGAGCCAAGGGGTCGAGGGATTAACGAGCCAAGGGGTCGAGGGATTAACGAGCCAAGGGGGCGAGGGATTAACGAGCCAAGGGGGCGAGGGATTAACGAGCCAAGGGGGCGAGGGATATACGAGCCAAGGGGGCGAGGGATTAACGAGCCAAGGGGGCGAGGGATATACGAGCCAAGGGGGCGAGGGATTAACGAGCCAAGGGGGCGAGGGATATACGAGCCAAGGGGGCGAGGGATTAACGAGCCAAGGGGGCGAGGGATATACGAGCCAAGGGGGCGAGGGATTACCGAGCCAAGGGGGCGAGGGATTAACGAGCCAAGGGGGCGAGGGATTAACGAGCCAAGGGGGCGAGGGATTAACGAGCCAAGGGGGCGAGGGATTAACGAGCCAAGGGGGCGAGGGATTAACGAGCCAAGGGGGCGAGGGATTAACGAGCCAAGGGGGCGAGGGATTAACGAGCCAAGGGGGCGAGGGATTAACGAGCCAAGGGGGCGAGGGATTAACGAGCCAAGGGGGCGAGGGATATACGAGCCAAGGGGGCGAGGGATTAACGAGCCAAGGGGGCGAGGGATATACGAGCCAAGGGGGCGAGGGATTAACGAGCCAAGGGGGAGAGGGATTAACGAGCCAAGGGGGCGAGGGATTAACGAGCCAAGGGGGCGAGGGATTAACGAGCCAAGGGGGCGAGGGATTAACGAGCCAAGGGGGCGAGGGATTAACGAGCCAAGGGGGCGAGGGATTAACGAGCCAAGGGGGCGAGGGATTAACGAGCCAAGGGGGCGAGGGATTAACGAGCCAAGGGGGCGAGGGATTAACGAGCCAAGGGGGCGAGGGATTAACGAGCCAAGGGGGCGAGGGATTAACGAGCCAAGGGGGCGAGGGATATACGAGCCAAGGGGGCGAGGGATTAACGAGCCAAGGGGTCGAGGGATATACGAGCCAAGGGGGCGAGGGATTAACGAGCAAAGGGGGCGAGGGATTAACGAGCCAAGGGGGCGAGGGATTAACGAGCCAAGGGGGCGAGGGATTAACGAGCCAAGGGGGCGAGGGATTAACGAGCCAAGGGGGCGAGGGATTAACGAGCCAAGGGGTCGAGGGATTAACGAGCCAAGGGGGCGAGGGATTAACGAGCCAAGGGGGCGAGGGATTAACGAGCCAAGGGGGCGAGGGATATACGAGCCAAGGGGGCGAGGGATTAACGAGCCAAGGGGGCGAGGGATATACGAGCCAAGGGGGCGAGGGATTAACGAGCCAAGGGGGCGAGGGATATACGAGCCAAGGGGGCGAGGGATTAACGAGCCAAGGGGGCGAGGGATATACGAGCCAAGGGGGCGAGGGATTAACGAGCCAAGGGGGCGAGGGATTAACGAGCCAAGGGGGCGAGGGATTAACGAGCCAAGGGGGCGAGGGATTAACGAGCCAAGGGGGCGAGGGATTAACGAGCCAAGGGGGCGAGGGATTAACGAGCCAAGGGGGCGAGGGATTAACGAGCCAAGGGGGCGAGGGATTAACGAGCCAAGGGGGCGAGGGATTAACGAGCCAAGGGGGCGAGGGATTAACGAGCCAAGGGGGCGAGGGATATACGAGCCAAGGGGGCGAGGGATTAACGAGCCAAGGGGGCGAGGGATATACGAGCCAAGGGGGCGAGGGATTAACGAGCCAAGGGGGCGAGGGATTAACGAGCCAAGGGGGCGAGGGATTAACGAGCCAAGGGGGCGAGGGATTAACGAGCCAAGGGGGCGAGGGATTAACGAGACAAGAAGGCGAGGGATTAACGAGCCAAGGGGGTGAGGGATTAACGAGCCAAGGGGGCGAGGGATTAACGAGCCAAGGGGGCGAGGGATTAACGAGCCAAGGGGGCGAGGGATTAACGAGCCAAGGGGGCGAGGGATATACGAGCCAAGGGGGCGAGGGATTAACGAGCCAAGGGGCGAGGGATTAACGAGCCAACGGGGCGAGGGATTAACGAGCCAACGGGGCGAGGGATTAACGAGCCAAGGGGGAGAGGGATTAACGAGCCAAGGGGGCGAGGGATATACGAGCCAAGGGGGCGAGGGATTAACGAGCCAAGGGGGCGAGGGATATACGAGCCAAGGGGGCGAGGGATTAACGAGCCAAGGGGGCGAGGGATATACGAGCCAAGGGGGCGAGGGATTAACGAGCCAAGGGGGCGAGGGATTAACGAGCCAAGGGGGCGAGGGATTAACGAGCCAAGGGGGCGAGGGATATACGAGCCAAGGGGGCGAGGGATTAACGAGCCAAGGGGGCGAGGGATTAACGAGCCAAGGGGGCGAGGGATTAACGAGCCAAGGGGGCGAGGGATTAACGAGCCAAGGGGGCGAGGGATATACGAGCCAAGGGGGCGAGGGATTAACGAGCCAAGGGGGCGAGGGATATACGAGCCAAGGGGGCGAGGGATTAACGAGCCAAGGGGGCGAGGGATATACGAGCCAAGGGGGCGAGGGATTAACGAGCCAAGGGGGCGAGGGATTAACGAGCCAAGGGGGCGAGGGATTAACGAGCCAAGGGGGCGAGGGATTAACGAGCCAAGGGGGCGAGGGATTAACGAGCCAAGGGGGCGAGGGATTAACGAGCCAAGGGGGCGAGGGATATACGAGCCAAGGGGGCGAGGGATTAACGAGCCAAGGGGGCGAGGGATATACGAGCCAAGGGGGCGAGGGATTAACGAGCCAAGGGGGCGAGGGATATACGAGCCAAGGGGGCGAGGGATTAACGAGCCAAGGGGGCGAGGGATTAACGAGCCAAGGGGGCGAGGGATTAACGAGCCAAGGGGGCGAGGGATTAACGAGCCAAGGGGGCGAGGGATTAACGAGACAAGAAGGCGAGGGATTAACGAGCCAAGGGGGCGAGGGATTAACGAGCCAAGGGGGCGAGGGATTAACGAGCCAAGGGGGCGAGGGATTAACGAGCCAAGGGGGCGAGGGATTAACGAGCCAAGGGGGCGAGGGATATACGAGCCAAGGGGGCGAGGGATTAACGAGCCAAGGGCGAGGTGGGGGCGAGGTGGGGGCGGGGGTGCAGGTGAAGTGAAGGGGTCATTTGCATCTTCTTTGACTTTCAACCACCCTCACACAACTCCCCTCACTCACACCCACGCTCACTCCAAACCCCCTCACTCTCATCCCCCTCACTCTCATCCCCCTCTCTCACTCCCCCCACTCACATGTCTCTCAACGCAGTGAACTTGGAGATGGCAGCAGTGAACGGAGGGCCAGAGATGGAGTTGCCCGATAGATCAACGGCCTGCAGGTGCTCCAGCGCCGTGAGGGTATCCCAGGGGATCGACCCCTTTAAGCCACCTGGCGTTTTCTGATTGGCCCACGATGCATTGATGACAGCTAGAGTGGGATTGGCAATGTTGCTGTGGTGGGTGGGTGCCGGGAGGGAGGATTGGGGGAATAAGGGAAGAAGAAGACGAGGGTGGAGAAAGGAGGGAAAGGACGCAAGCATAACAATAGGAAGCGTGGAAACATGAAGAGGGGGAGGTGGAAAGGAGGGAAACGATGGAAGGAGGAAGATGGGGAAGTGGGGAAAGGGGGGAGCGGGAAGGGACGAGGGGTTGAGAAGGCGAGGAAGAGGAGGGTGGGATAGCAGGGACCATAGTACAGGGATGAAGGTCTAGAATGGAAGGGAAAGGGGCGAAGGGGAGAGGGGGAGGGGGGCGCAAGGCAGAGGGGGAGTGAAGGATCCAAGCAGTGGGGCTGGACAACCAAGCTCAATCCACCGTCTCTTCCCTTGCCGCCCTCACACGCTCATCATCTGCACGGCCCCACTCGGCGCTCACATGCTGAGACAAGCGCTCACATGCTGAGACAAGCGCTCACATGCTGGAGACGCGGCCGTGCGAGTCGCAGGAGAGGAACTCCCAGAACTGCACGCACGGCTTGCTCTGCTCGTACGACAGCCCCTGCGACTGATTGGCCCACCCCGCCCACCGGAACGCCGCATGGTCGCCCAGCGCCGCCGCCAGCGACAGCAGCGCCGCCTCTGCGGGGGGCGCGACGGAGAGGGGGGAACGGGGGAGGTAGACGATTGGACGCGCGGAGGCGCAAGGGCGTGCGGTGGGTGCTGCGCTGCGCTGCTGTGCCTCCTGCGTGCGTGCTACGCAGTGGGTGCTGCGCTGCTGTGCCTCCTGCGTGCTACGCAGTGCGTGCTGCGCTGCGCTGCTGTGCCTCCTGCGTGCTACGCAGTGCGTGGTGCGCTGCGCTGCTGGGCAAAGAGCGCCTCGGGCAGGAGGGGCGGCAGGGCGGGCTGTGGGAGGGTGGTTGATCTGTGGGGCAGACAGCGGTTGAGCAAAAGGAGTCGTGCGCGTAGCGCATGGGGTCATGGAAGGGCGCATGGGGTCATGGAAGAGCGCAGGGATGAGCAAACAGCGGATGGGAGGAAGGAACATCCGTGAAGTCTACGCGTGGTTGCTGCGACAGATCGAAATGCTTCCACGCAGTCATCACCGTCGCATCATGCCCCGCTTTTCTCGAGAATTTCGGCCGCAGGCGCCATTATAATCAACCGTTATTCTTATCTCCTTCCCAAATATCCCCGCTACAGTCATATCCGCGACGTACTCTCAGCGAGCGCCACGTCATTGGCCGTGCCGAGCCCCGGCAGCGGCTGGATGACGTCAGCGCGCACCGTCGCTGCCGGCGGGAACGACGCGCATAGCGCGACGAGCGACGCGGCGATTACGGCGACACGGGTGCGTTGAAGCCGCTGCTGGCAATGCCGCCGCGGCCTGTTGCGACAATCATGGCAATGCGGCCGAGTCAGCAGCCGCATGAGATGACGTGGCGGCATGGCTTCTGAACAATGTGCGGTGCGAGGGCGGGGAAGGCAGTAGTAGGGGGAAGGCAGTAGTAGGGGGAAGGCAGTAGGTGGAAATCCGAGGCGTGAGGTAAGGGATCCGAGGTGAGACGAGGAAAAGGATGTACTGAACTTGGCACAATAAATGGAGGAACAAGAGGAGGAAAAGGTTGGTGGAAGCAGGTAGTGGCGAGGTGAGGGAACGAGAATGCTGGGAAAGGGGAGGCTTGGCTGGGTGCATAGATGTGCGCAATGCGGTTCGCTGTGGTGAGCTCTGGTGTGGGGCAATAGAAGGTATGGATTTCCTGTCGTCCTGTCGAAGCGCAGATTTGTGGGATTCTGTTTGACTGAAATAGTGTTTGCAAGGCTGGAAGATGTTCGTTGTTGCAATATAGGGGTAGCATGACACGCTTCTATCGCGTAAATGTCCAACACTCACCCCTTCACCTTCACAAACGGTCACAATGTTCCCAGTTTCACTCCAACTCACAGCACCGCGCTTTGTCTGCTCCACTTGCACACCGCCGGTTTCACCCTCTCTTCTGTTGCAAGTCGTCTCCAACTCGCCGCAGCTCCTTTGTTACTTCCGCCCATGCCGCCCGCCGCCGCAATCCGCCTCCCCCTTCCGCTCCCGCGCACGCCCGGTGGAGCCTCTCCTCGTTGTTTCCGCGCATTTCTTCCCGCCACAGACTCGCCGAAATCTCCTCCGCATTTCGCGATCACTCAAAAGTGCGCGGCTCGCCACTCCGCGCCTCATGCTGCCTGCGCGTTGTCCTTTGGCGCCGGAAATCCGAGGCGCGCAGAAGAACAGCGCGCAAAGGGAAGCGCGCGGAACGGTGGAGTGAGTCGGGGGAGATTCCGCGCAACAGCAGCGCCGGCTGGACGCAAGTCGCTTGCGCGCGCAGCAGCGGGAGATGAAGGCGGAGCAGCGAGGGCGGCGCAAGGAGCGCCGGACGAAGCTGCGCAACCGTCGGATGCGCGCATGGCGCGAGTGATGCGCGTTTTACGGGAGGACCTGCCGGCGCAGTACGAGCGAGATCTGGATTGGTCCATCTATGATGCCAGCGTGGCATTCGTGGATCCTGTGACGCGATTGGACGGGCTATTTCTATACAGAGGGATGATCAGCAGCCTGAGGCTAATCACGTCAGTGGGATTCGAACCCGGGTCTCTCGTTTTCGAAGTGCACTCACTGGAAGAGGTGAGCAGTGCTTACAATCCCCCCATCTGTCTAACCATCACTCTCCATCATCTTCTAGCCCCTCCCTGCTTCTCCCCCCCTCCTTCGCCCCCTCCCTTCGTCACCCGCCGAACCCCCTCCACCCCCTCCCTCCATCTCCTCATCCCTGCCCCCCTCTCTCCTTCCCCGCCGCACACACAGCATGTTAGCAGCTCCTGAGGAACGGCTGCAACATGCCTGCCGCTCTTGTGAACACAACTGTCAGCATGGCTTCCCCTCTCCTCCCCCTCACCTCCGCTTCTCCTCCCCTCCACTTCCCTGTTCCCCTCTCCAGGTCCCTCCCGATGCACGCACCCTCTCGCCCTTCTCCCCGCGCGCGGGGCCGGAGGGGCGTGTGGGGGAGGCGGTGGGCGCAGTGCGGAGTGTGTGGAGCACGAGGGGGCACACCCGATGGGGGAAGGCACTGAGCATCACTGGAGGTGCGTTGAGCATCACTGGAGGTGCGTTGAGCATCACTGGAGGTGCGCTGAGCATCACTTGAGGTGCGCTGAGCATCACCGGAGGGGCAAGTCAGTGCGGGAGGTGCAGGAGTGCAGGGGTGGGGGAGGCAGGGAGTGTGTGTAGAGAGGAGAGATGCAAGCGCAATGTGTAGCTGTGAGTGAGGGGGAGGCAGCGTATGGGGGAGGGAGTGAGTGTTGGGAAGGGAGGGAGTTGGGAGGCAGTGAGTATTGTGAGTGTTGGGAGTTGGGAAGCATCTCATGATTCCTCCCACACCGTGTTTGCATCATGGTGTTCCATTCCCCTTGTTCATCCCTTTCCCATCATCCTCCTGCCTTGCTTGCTGCTGCCATGCAGACGACGTCTTCCGCATCAACAGCACGGGCAAGATCATCACACATGAGTCAGCATGGAATGAATCTCCATCACACGTATGGGAAGGATTCAGATTATAGCCCATCAAGAGCATAGTAGAGCCTATGAGACAGCATTCGCCCGAGCCAATTGTTCGATTTTCGCATGAATTGTTTTTTTTCATTTACTGGTAGGAATCGTGCACCCGGTGTAACACATAACTACACTACTGTAGGCAGTTTGTATAAAATATAATGTGTACTGTTATTTTCTGAGACACCCCCCTGAAACAATGTGTGTGCGTTGTTGGAAACATATAGTTTACACTTCTGATGTGTCGAAACACTGGGTCATAAAGCGAACCGAACTACAGCGAGACAACAGCGAGTCAACCAAGAAGGTTGACAAAATGCAACAGCTGGAGGTTGAGCGAAGCACAAAGGTCAGCGCGACCTTTGACTAACCCTTCCCTAGGATCAATCGGGGATCTCCAGTGGACCTCTGACACCCCCCCGCACTGGGATGCCCGAAGTGCACACACCGGGATTCGAACCTGAGACCTTCGCTCATATACGATGTCAGAATCACAGCCACTAACCACTGGGATAAAAGGGCTTGTTTATGTAGCGGGTGAGTGCGCCCATAACCCCCCAGGCCGACATGCCTGTAACCCTTCCCTAGGATCAATCGGGGATCTCCAGTGGACCTCTGACAAACACAACTGACTTGCTATTGAGCAGTTGCCCGAATCGTCACTGTTATCGAACCGCAACAGCAGAAGTTACAATTACAGTTACAAATAGCAGTTAAACCTTTCGTATTCTCTTGTAATCATATAAAAGCTTGTATCCCTTTGCTTTAATCAACTCATATTGTCCTCGTACACCAGCACACGGTGGTTCAACTCGTTCACTATGAACGCTTCCGCAATTACATCATCATTCAGAATCTTAGTCTTGAAAACGATCCTAAGGGCTTTTCTCAGCCCAATATCGTATGAGAGCAGGAAGACAAGACTCAACGTTTCTCATTTAACTCTTTACAACGACAAAGGACATGGCAACGCAGAAGGAGCATCGCTCATCTACCGGATCTCCTAGTGCCACTCCTACCCCACCTGAAGCCTCTGGACTACAGACAGAGGAAGGCACGACGACAAGACCAGCTGCAGAATCCACTGAGATACCCGCAAATCAAGCGACCGGCCTCGACCCGAGCATGATGGAGAAGTTTTTTTTCCTTCATGTCGCTCTACGAGCAACAGCAGCAAGCTGCACCTACACAGTCAAACAACAGCAACAACAATGGCGTCACCTCTATGAGTCTCGACGGCTCATCATTCGCGCGCGGAAATCAACAGCAGCCTACCTTTGTACCGTATGAGCCCCAACGCGGCTCCATCAGCTTCATGCCGAACCGTCTTCAACCTGGACAAGAACAAAAACCAGCGGATGCACTTCAGATGCTGTCACAGTTCGCACATGTACTAAAACTGCAGACATCAACGCCATTCGACGGAAATGACTTCTACACCTGGTCCTTTGAATTCGAGTTAATGATGGAAGGCGCGCAAATCCTCGGCTTCTTCGACGGGTCCCTGCCATATCCAGTACACGGGACACAGTACGACAAACAGCAGTACACATATCAGTCGCTAATGGCTTACACAATTCTCCTACGGAATTTGACGGCGAACGAGCAGCAGAACATCCGGTCTTATCGAGGATACGGCAACTCCGCCGAGCTCGCGTACAACCACTTGAAAAGCCTGTATCAAGCAAACGACAGCGTCAATCAGAGTCGTCTAATGGCACAGCTAACGACAGCTCAAATGCACCCCGGCGAAAAGGCAATGGCGTATATCAGTAGATGTCGCGGTCTGTGCAACAGGCTTCATCGATGCGGCGCCGCGTTATCCGAAGAAGCTTTTGTAACCGTCGTCCTTGCAGGTCTTGGACCCCAGTGGCGCTCCACGCGAGCTATTCTCTGACGTCACAGGCAAATCTCCGAAGCAGCACTCTGCGCAGAACTTCATGCTGAACAGCAGGACATGGACCTGCACGAAGAACGTCACAAGAAAAGAGCATCAGTACCCGAGTTCGCGTTCCACACTCAACGACGCTACAACCACAACAACAACCAGCAGAATAAGCATCAACCACAACAACACGTACCACCGTTCTGTCACCTCAGCAAAACGTCAGGACATCGACGCACCCACTGCACAAATCAGCAGCAGCCAACACCACCGCAACGTCAACTTCGACCTTCAAACAGTCAAGTGGCTTCTACACAGGTGCATCCCACCAACCAAATACAGTCTTCAACGACATCAACAAAACGACCTGCACAAGGCACAAGAAATATCGTGAGCTGCATGACAAGAATAACGGATTCATGCATCACCGGATCTCCACCAACCTACTCACCAGAAGAACTACTCGACGAGCGCACACCTCGCCGCGAATCACTGGAGCCAAACCCGACGTACGCAGCCATCGCCCAGAGCGAACCATCTGGAAGAGACACATGGTTCTTGGACAGTTGCTGCGGCCAGCACATGTGCTCTTCTAATCGCTTCGTCCAACGTGAGCAACGCCTCAACCGTGAAGTCGTCATCACCGTCGCCAACAACCATAACCTGCGCACACGTCGACAAGGATTGGTTCATCTTCAATCTCGCGAAGCCAACGTGATTCTACAAATGTCGAAAGTACTGATTGCAGAAGGGCTCGGTTACAACTTACTCAACGTCAGCCAACTTATGGCGAAGGGCATTCATCTTGAAGCAGACAGCACCACGCAGAAGTTCAAGTTGTATGATGGAAAAGGAGGCCTCCACATCGGCAAAGCAGTCTTGAAGAATACCGTCGTCGTCCTCGACTTCGTTCCGGACCTCGGCACAGCCGACAGCGACGGCATCGTAAACATCACCACCTGGACGCACCCTCCAGATCTTGACTCCAATTTTAGCCCCGGAGGTTTCTGGTACTCGCACACGATACATGAAGCAGAAAGAACAAGAGCATTAGCAGTGATACAACAAGCAGAGGCAACAACATCGGCAGCAGCAGCAACAACATCGGCAGCAGCAGAAACAACATCGGCAGCAGAAGAGACAACAACACCACCAACAACACTCCCCTTGAACCCCCCTGTCGCAGGTCCTTCAACGGCACCACCTCCTCTCGACGAATCGACTCCGACTAAAGCACAACAGCTGAATCCCGCCCCACGAGCTGTTCACCGAAGCGCCAACCTCGTCGCCGGCTTCTACTCCAACTCCGACCTGTACAGAAGATCACCTGGACACAGGGCAAATGAATCAACGTGGCACGCAAGATTGGGACATCCCAGCAACACAACACTCAACAACACGATAAGAGCCGGAGTCCTTGACAAAGACTCACTGCTACTACCTGACGGACGAGAACTACAACGAGTCCGAGGAACATGCTTTACCTGCCCTGAAGCGGACTTACCCCACCAGCAGTTCGTCTCTCACCACAACCCGAGCGCACCAGCATACGCACCACTGGAGAAAGTATACAGCGACATACTGTACGCCCGCGAAAGTGGACAGGGAGCGTACAACTACGTCATCACCTTCATCGACGCCGCCACCAGATACGTCTGGCACCTCAACCTTCCAAGTCGCGACATGGCCTTCGAAGCCTTCATGGCCTGGCTTCCAGTAGCAGAACGGGAATCAGCAGGAGTGAAGCTAAAAAGCTTCCAGTCAGACGGGGGAGGGGAATATCAGTCACAGAGGTTCAAGCAGTACTTGGCAGAGAGAGGCATCAAACGACTCATCTCGCTTCCCTACGCCCATCAACAGCAAGGCGTGGCAGAAAGGATGAACAGAACCCTCCAGACCACCATGCGCAAGCTACTACGTGGCATGCGGCTGCCCGACAGCCAATGGCCCGAAGCGATGAACCACGTTGTAATGCTGCACAACTTGCTCTCGTCATGATCGCTCCCGAACAACACATTACCACATCTTATGTGGACAGGAAAATTGGGCAACACAAAAATGTTACGAGTTTTCGGCTGCATGGTACAGTACCGACTGCACACCGCACGAGCCGGAAGATTTTTGAACGAGCACAGTGGGGACTACACCTGGGCATCGAAAAACATTACAACGCGTGGAAGATTTTCGACGTCCACTCGAAGGAAACAGTAGCAGCACGTGATGTCATCTTCTACGAACAACTCAGCCTCAACACGTACCTGTACAACTTGGAAACCAACCGAGACCCCACAGGTGGCTTCCGTGGTGATAGGGCCTTCGCCTCGTCAGGAGAAGAAGCTGAATGGGATGAACAAAATGTGGACGGAGCATCGGAACAAGCCGGTCCACTACCTTACTGCTCAGTTGACATCCCGATGGACGAAGACAACCCCCGCGAAAGCATCAACGCCGAAGTCTACTACGATTCGCCGACAACGGTTACGTAATACCCCAACCAGTCAACACTGACATTTCTGAACGCATAGGGCCCAATTTCTTACCTGATCCAGAAGCGGGACCCGAAGCAGTCTATCCCGAGGACGCAACACTCCCCCGATACACACAGAGTGGACTGCAGATACTCGGCCTCGTCACCGCCGTCCACGGAGCAGCACCGCCTAAGGAGCCTGCCACAATTCAGCAGGCTCTGGGGGGGGAGCACAGAGAAAAATGGCGCGAAGCCATGGACAAGGAGTTAAAGGCACTAGAAGAGAGAAACACCTGGAAAGTAGTGCCTATCGGAGTGGCATGCAACAAGATCGTACTCACCGGGAAGTGGGTCTTCCGCGTGAAGACCAAAGCAGACGGAACTATAGACAAGTTCAAGGCACGATGGGTCGTGCGAGGCTTCGATCAACAGCACGGACGAGATTTCACCGAGACATTCGCACCTGTAAGCAGGCACACGTCGCTACGGATCCTACTCACCATAGCCGCCATGAAACGGAAGAAGCTTCGACAAATCCACGTGGCGAACGCCTTCCTTAACGCACCTGTCAACGCCGAAATCTTCGTCGAGCTACCTCACGGGTACAACAACGACTCCAACCAAGTATGTCATCTGCTGAAATCGATGTACGGCAT